ACACACACACACACACACACACACACACACACACTGGTTAACCAGGTCTGGAGGTTGACATTGTCTGCCGAGGAGGTGCAAGCCTTGGTTTGTTGGGAGAATGTGGACTACTCCTTTATTTTTGTCACTCATTCCTATGTCCATCTGGTTGTATCTTCCTCTGGGAGATATCATCTACCTCCTGAGGCAATTCTACATACACCAGTTCAACTCTACCTTGGGTAAGTGTCTTTTTGTATGTTTCTCTTCAGTGGCCTTCTTTTTCTTCAGTATATATTTGGATCCCCCTCAGTGGTAAGTGTTGCCTGGTCAGGTATAATTTTCTGGGAACCTTCTTTTCTGTTCCTACGGTTGAGGCTGGTAGATGTCCCCCTTCTCAGTAATTCTGATTGCAAGTTGTTTCATTTTCCTGCTCCTACAGTTAAACTCGGAGAACTTCATCTGCCTCTTAATAATATAAAATAATATTTTGGGACAACATGGGACCTATTGGTCCATCTTGGCTGTCCTATCCTCTAAACTAAAACTATTAATAAATTAATTTAAAAAAATCTTAAAGCCAGTCATTATCATTCATATAGTTATCAGACTTTCTCTTAAGTTCACTTAAATTTAGTGGCTCCACAACATCTGATGGCAACCCATTCCAAAAGCCAACCACCCTGTTAGAAAAATAAGATTGTCTCAGCTGAAAATGACTCCTACCCTGCCAAAATTTTTGTTTGTATCCCTTAGTCCTACTATTCTCACTGTTAAATATGAAAAAAAGATGATGCATCAACACTATCAATTCACCTTACAACCATAAACACCTCAGTAAGATTCATTCTAACTCTCTTTTTCAAAAGAAAACAATTTGAGATATTTCAACCTCTCCTTGTATGACAACCCCTCCATCCCAGGCACCATTCTAATAACCCTCCTCAGAAATGCTTGGTGCAATATGTTTATTCTATGCTCATACAGTTGGGCTGTTATCATTATTTTTCTGCTCCTCATATTAGGTACAGGATAATTACCTGTTCTTATGGTTGAGTTGAGGCTTCAACACTGCCCCATAAGTCCAAGTTCAGTTTATTGTACTTCGTTTCTCCTACGGATGAATTGGAAGTTTGTCCAATGGATGCTGTTTGCTTACTTTCTCATTGTAATTCCAGTTGCTTGCAGTATAGCACTCTGTTTACTTATGGGAGGAGTTGTTGTACATATTCATCGTGATCTGCTTGTCTTGGCCACCATATGCTGTTTTTAATTATTTCAATCATACGTGAGATCCTCCACCTTTTAACACTGAGGATGGGACATGGAACCTCATCTGTATGGTTGGGATTTAGTAGATACCTTCCAATGCCTAGATGAATACCTGTTTTGTTCCCTGTATGTTTGGAGTTACCTCTCAGTGTCTAATTTTTTCTTTATACTGCTTATGACTCTTATCCTACCTGAGATGGTTTGTTTCCGGTCACATTTGTATGGTTTAAGTTGGAATGAGACTCGCATTGATTTTTTTTTTTTACATTTGATACATTTTTCTCCAAGATCTTTCTTTTACTCACTCCAGGCTTCGATGCTACCCATTTCACAACACTGCAATTCTTTGAGAGAGAAGAGCATTACTGTGGTCCCCCACACCTGTGCTAACATTCAATTACAGAGCACACCTTATTGATTCTCTATGAATGCTTTCTGCAGGGGTCTCTTGTTTTATCTTACACTGGTCTCTCCACCTTCTCAATGTGAGATTCTAGCTATTGTGTGAGGGAGATACGTATTGTATCAGAAGTTATCATTTTTTACACTGAAAATAGATTTCCGATATATACTTAACCTCCTCTCACACACTTCCCACCCTTTCTCCCAACTTCTGGTGTTCTTCTACGTCTTGTGGGACTAATTTCAAAAGTGAGGTTCACGTAAAGTAGTACAGAGGGAGCCTGCTGCTCCAGGAGAGTGTGTCATGCTCCTATTTGTGGAGGGTTGTCGCATGCTCTGTGCATGCTAAATGTGCAGTTCGAACTTGTGGGGTATAAAAGGTTAGTGTATCAAGCAAGAAAAATTCCTTTTTAGGGCATTAGAGGGTAGTGGAAGATCTAGAAAACTATTATGTGAGTGGAGGTACATATCTATCAGAAATCTATTTTCAGTGTAAGAAAATATTAACATTTAAATAACTTTAAACTTGCTTACAGCAAACAAAACCTTAATTTCTAAATAAAAAGAAGGTGTGTGTTCTTGGTTGCTTGTTTTTTTCCTAGAATGAAGGCACTTTTATTTCTGGCCTTTCTATCCAAATACAAGAAAGAAAAAACTTACAAATTTGTCAGTTTTGTTTTTTTACTAAATTCTGGATTGAAATGTCAGAACTAGTGTAAAAAAGAGAGATCCTCATCCAAAGTAGAATGTTTTTACAGTTTCATTTCTTTCCAGGTATTTTCGGGCATTAGCAAATGGAGAAGAACCACCTGTAAAAAATCATCTAGAATTTTTTAATGGGTCAAGTGGTCTTACTTTTGAAATACTAAAAGCTTTACATCATCAGGTTTGTTAATTAACATATGGAATACACATATTACTGTGTAATATTTTAGTAGTGCTATATACCATTGTATATTGCTTTAGGAGTAGCATAAATATTAATGCAGTATTTATTTACCTCTGTAAACTGTCAAGCGTGTTAATTAAACAAATTTAGTTTAATGTATTTGAATGAACTGAATAGGATGAAAGCATCTGTCTTAATGAATTATTATTTTTTTTCTTTCAAAGTCTGAGGTAATAGGTTATAGAATAGCTGAAAGCCATTTGAAAGCCAGAAAAAGCTATTTAGGCAGCAACAATAGTCTTTTATATTCATATTTATAAAGTCCGACATTATTATTTGAGAAAGTAATGGAACTTGTTCCTAATACCTGTTAAAGAATGTTTAAAAGAAGTCTTTGATTGAAAAATACAGGGGGCTGCAGAGCATATATGAAGATGGGTTGCTAGTGTAAGCTTAGTATATCTGTTCAGTGGCTGGTCTGTCTGTTTAATTATTCAGGCAGTCATGTGGGCAGCAAAAATGTGGGATGTTATAGTGTCTATGACACCCCTGTTTATGTTTTATTTTTATATTTTGTACTTTCACTAACCTTTATTCGAAGACACTTCTGTGTACTATGCTTTTACGTACATGAATAATTTGGTTCATATGTAAGTTCAACCACTTATCTTATATGCAGAATATTTCATGATATAGAAGAAAAATTTGATTTCAGTTTATTTTTTTTACTGTTTGCAAAAAAAATATATATTATTTTGTTATTTTTACAGGTGGATTCAAAGCAACTACCTTATATTCAATAAGTATATATAAAACTCTCCTATGTATTATATAAATGAAGGTTTTTCTGTTATTGTTAGATGAAAATTGATTATATCTGGTATGGGAGATATCACTACATCAGTTTTCTGAAACTTATATTTGCTTAAATTAACTTAATGTTTATGCTTTTCTGTGGAATCTTTTTTTTTTTTTTCCTACCATTTTATATGACAAAATTAATTTATTGTAAAATTTTCTCATTTCAGGTCACACTTTATATGAAAATATGAATTTAAATAAATATGATATTTAACATTCAAGAAACTGTGTTCTTTATTAATGGCTGGATTATCAGTTATGCTTTCACTGTTATTTTAATAATAAATTTTTGATAATAAAACACATAGTTAGATTTAGAAGCAGCCAATAAGATGGCAGCCTTGTGACTAATTAATGGATTTAGCCAATGAAATTGGCTTGGAGCTTCTGAAAGGACCTTGTTGTAATGCAGTCTTGCAATTTAGTCCCGTGGACTGCTTTTATAGTGAGAACCTGTGTATTTACAGAAGCCATTGATAACTTCAATAAGTATATTTGAATTGTGTACAATAAATTGTTGTATTTTAATTATGAATAGCAATATGATTTTTCCTTTGTATATTTTTTTTATCAACAGTTAAGTAGCAAGATTGAGGTAACTATTGAAGAGATTCGACATAAATGGGAAAACTTCAGCCTTGAAGAAGAGAAACTAAAGGAATTGTTAAGTCTTGGCAGATTTCCAGAAGAGTCATCATTCTCAGTTAATTGGTTAAAGTTCGTTTCCCTTGGTTGTGGAGAACTTGGAAGTGTGGGTCTCAATAACTTAATACTTATACATTCACTCAGTTACTAGATTAAATACATCTACTTCAAATTCAACTTATATTTAATATTTGTCTTTGGAACAAATTTTTTACGAACTAATACATAGATATAAGCAATCTTCTCAAATTTTAGAAACCTTTTCTTTTATGATATTTTCATTAGACAATTAAATTAAGAAGATGTAGTATTTATATAATGCTCTTCTTATATGGTTTAGTCAAATCTGCTAATAAACTGTCTTAGTGTTAATGTAATTGATACATTTTAATTAAAATTTGCTACTTCTTAAAATGACACTTTCATAAAGTTGAACATACAAATGAACATATTTTTGTTTCAGACAATTAAAGAAAGAATGACATTCTTCTGTAAGGTCATAACTAATAAACCACCAGAAGAAATACCAGAAATTCCATTTTCAACGTTTTCACAGATATACCAGTTCATTACCAAGCTGGATGAAAATATTCCTGAAGAACATATAAATAGCGTTGTCAATTTTTTGTCAGTTCAGGCGTGAGTATATTGTTTGTTGTATACAAGTTTGATGAACTGTTATGAGCAAATGTTTAAGAAAAGCCACTCTGATCCAAATAATTACATATAACTAAATTCATATTATACATTACGAGCAGTGTGTGTGTGTGTGTTACACTATGATTTTATTTGTAAACGTTGTACTTATCTGCATTTTCTAGATTATTGTTCACTAGTGTATCTTATAAGGGCAGGTATCTAATTTGAAGGAATATACCTTTTCGGAAAATTATACTTCAGAGGGCTGTGATAGTTTTTCTTTACTTTTTACCACTAAGTGGCTTTTTTTTTCTTCTATGGACTACATCAATACTTTATAAAATATAAATTGTATAAGATGACCACAAGTCTTGTAAGTGAAACAGAAATAAAAAGTATTTTTAAAATATTGTAATATTGCCTTAACTTCACTGTGTTACTAACTTTGGAAATCTTATAATTATGTCTTACTCTGTTATTAATCAGATTTGGTTAACACGGACTATATACCTGGTTCTATCTGTCAAAATGTACATTTTTATAACATGTATGGCAAATAAAGTAATGAAATGAAATATTATATCTTTCTGGAAGCTTAGTTCAGCTGGTATTTATGGCAGAAAATATCATTACATTGTATATGTATGATAATGATCTCCAGTTTACTTTCTTGTGATTAGATATTTATAATCATCTAAAGAAATATTACCAAGAATTACAAAGTAATTTAGGAAGAAAGCACTTTAATCATCTCCAAATAAGTATTTACATTGTCATTCTGTGATTTGTTGTAAAAGTGTTTTTGACCATAATGTTATCTGTAATAATGAATGTGTTTTGGTGTAAGTGCAACTGCTTACTGTTTGGAGATATCATTTTAAAATACTATGTGCAGTCTACCAGAACTAATAGTGTAGATTTAAATAATAAAAACACAGGACTTGGCTGTTAAAAACAGTCTTCAATCATAGCTGAACATAACATTACAGAGAGAGGGGAACAACATCAAGATTTTAAACTTTGATTTCAGTTAAATATAACATCTCATAAAAGTGGTAAACATCAAGATCTTGATCTTCAGTCACAGCTAAAAAGGACACATCATAGAGAGGAATGACATCAATATTTTAATCTTTAGTCTTTGCTAAATAGAACATATCATAGAGAGGAACAACATCAATATTTTAATCTTTAGTCTTTGCTAAATAGAACATATCATAGAGAGGAACAACATCAATATTTTAATCTTTAGTCTTTGATAAACAGAACATATCAAAGAGTAGAACAACATCAATATTTTAATCTTTAGTCTTTGCTAAATAGAACATATCAAAGAGTAGAACAACATCAATATTTTAATCTTTAGTCTTTGCTAAATAGAACATATCAAAGAGTAGAACAACATCAATATTTTAATTTTTAGTCTTTGATAAACAGAACATCTCAAAGAGTAAAACAACATCTTAAACTTTAGTCTTTGTTAAACAGAACATATCAAAGAGTAACGCAACATCAAGATCTTAAACTTCAGTCTTTGCTAAACAGAACATATCATAGAGAGGAACAACATCAATATTTTAATCTTTAGTCTTTGCTAAATAGAACATATCAAAGAGTAGAACAACATCAATATTTTAATCTTTAGTCTTTGATAAACAGAACATATCAAAGAGTAGAACAATGTCAAGATTTTAATCTTTAGTCTTTGCTAAATAGAACATATCATAGAGAGGAACAACATCAAGATTTTAATCTTTAGTCTTTGCTGAACAGAACAAATTAAAAAGTAGAACAACATCAAGATCTTAATCTCTAGTCCTTGTTAAATAGAACAAATCAAAGAGCAGAACAACAAGATCTTAGACCCAGCTGATACTGTAAAAAAAATATCCTTCTTTATTGAAGTCATGAAATTCCAACACAACTGAAATATTGATCTGAAAGTCAGCAATTTACAGGCTCCACTTATATCCATTTTTCCAGTATTTTACTAAAGATTTGATGAAGATGAACAGGACCTCTGCCAAACCTTATCTCCAAACTAAGCAATTGCAGCTGTGATTAATTAAATAATTTTTTTTTAACAAGAAAGACAAATGTACTGACATTTTACAATATAAATATGTAAATCCATCATATTGTTTTTATATTATCTTGATTATATCATAATTCTGATAATATTGTTTGTGTTTCTAGAGAAAAGCAAGGTGGCATGGTCAATCCACAAAACTTCTTGTTGCCTGACTGTCCTTCTCTTGATTATGTTTTATTGTAGCTTGTTGAATTTTTTCCAAAGCTTGTAGTTTCTCTGTGTATTTTATAGTGTTGGGTAAATAATTTGTTATTGGAAATTATAACTCAGTGATACAGTATATTTAAAATTGTTGAGATGTATACAGTTCTAGATTTTTAATAAATATTCTTAAAAACAACTAATTAAAAAACTTAGAACTTGAAGATGGTAATTACTATGTCACATGAAAGGTAAAACAACTAATTAAAAACTAGAACTTGAAGATGGTAATTATTATGTCACGTGAAAGGTAAAACAACTAATTAAAAACTTAGAACTTGAAGATGGTAATTATTATGTCACGTGAAAAGGTAAAACAACTAATTAAAAACTTAGAACTTGAATATGGTAATTATTATGTCACATGAAAGGTAAAACAACTAATTAAAAACATAGAACTTGAAGATGTAATTATTATGTCACGTGAAAGGTAAAACAACTAATTTAAAACATAGATCTTGAAGATGTAATTATTATGTCATGTGAAAGGTAAAACAACTAATTAAAAACTTAGAACTTGAAGATGTTAATTATTATGTCACATGAAATATAAAACAATTATTGTATGTGTTCTGGGTTATAGGACATTTTTGAGGTATAGAATCAAAACAAAACCCAACAACAAATGAATTATTATGTATTAGAAGATTACTGGCCAATCTTTGTCCAAATATTTAATGGTATACCGATATTACAACACAGTTGTATAATATGCCAGCTTATGAAATTGAAACTTTCAAATGTATAAATCTATCAATTACTTTCATATATTTTAAATGCTCTATTTTTCATAGAATTTTGTATTCATGAGAGACAAATAAACTTGTGAGCAGTAAAAACAAAACATATCTTGCTATAAAAACCTTATATTTACGTCAGATGTGTGCTTTGAAGTGTTGTACGTCATAGTGACGGTACAGTTGAAAATAGCATTGTCTTAGAGACTTTTCAAGTAAGCTACATAACATAATACCAGAATATTTCCTGCAGTGTATTCGATTTCTTAGATTTATATGTTTAAGATTGAAACGAACCCGTATTGATTTTAACCGCGTTATTAAATGGAAAGTTTTGTTTGAATTTTGTATAAGTCAATAGATGGCGCGATAGTGGTATTGGTTGTTCCAGTTAAGTTTGTTTTTAACTGACGTTATTACTAGACTGACATACAGTAATTAGTGATTTCCATAACTTGTGTCTATATTTTATAAAATATATACACCCAAACCTTCTTTTTCGTGATAGAGGTTTTATTCATCCCAGTACTTGGCGATTCATAACTGTTGTTTACTATCGAAAGGAAGAAATACAAAATCTATGAATAAGTGAAGTTGTAACTTGATATCTTTAACCAAGGTTTAATTATAACTTGATATTTTTAACCAAGGTGTAGTTGTAACTTCATATCTGTAACCAAGGTTTAATTATAACTTGATATCTTTAACCAAGGTGTAGTTATAATTTGATATCTTTAACCAAGATGTAGTTGTAACTTGATATCTTTAACCAAAATGTAGTTATAACTTGATATCTTTAACCAAGGTTTAATTATAACTTGATATTTTTAACCAAGGCGTAGTTGTAACTTCATATCTGTAACCAAGGTTTAATTATAACTTGATATATTTAACCAAGATGTAGTTGTAACTTGATATCTTTAACCAAGGTTTAATTATAACTTGATATTTTTAACCAAGGTGTAGTTATAACTTGATATCTTTAACCAAGGTTTAATTATAACTGGATATTTTTAACCAAGGTGTAGTTATAACTTGATATATTTAACCAAGGTTTAATGATAACTGGATATTTTTAACCAAGATGTAGTTGTA